GCCGCCGGATTTGCAGCGCCGCCACAGGTCCAGAGCCAAGAGGGGCCTGAAGACCCCGCTCTAGACTCTCAGCCCGAAGGCTTATGAGATCAGCTCGCGGCTTCACGGCATAGCTGGAGCATGTCAGTCACTACACTTCAGAAGGTCAAAGTAAAGGGTCTTCAGACCTAATCCAGCCGCGGCGCAGCTGACGGCAATCCAACTTTCGGTTTGGTCCATCCGAAAGTTTCTTGGGGTCTTGACATTGACGATCCTACTCTTTGAGGTGTACCTGCAAGTCCCTTGCTTCTGAAGCTCCCTCCTGACTGCTGGGAATCAGGCTCGACACCCCTGCTACGGCGACGCGCAGCAGGTCGCTTCGTTGGATCGAGCTCAGCCTGCTCTCTTCTTCGTAGTTGCAGACAGAAGTTTGAGAGACAGGTAGCACCGCGCCACGTGCAGTCGCCAGCCGGGCTACAGGCCAGGCCGTGCAGCCTTGGAGCAGAATGGGCCCGAGCTCTCTTGAACCCCTGAGGGGAAGCCGAGCAAAGAAGCCGTTCTCCAATGCCAACCCTAAGCTTAATCCTAAACCATCCTACAGAAGGCAGTTGGGCAGCGCGCACCATCGCCCGGCAGCAGGCGGCTCCTACAGGCCTTCGCTTCGCTGAGGAGCAGAGTCTCAACTGCGTATCCGCTGCTACGCCTGCTGCTACCCACCCGACTTTCGTCGTGTCAATGACTGGCAGGCGCAGCAGCCAACAGGCCTGTTCTGGTCGTGAGGGCGCTCCTCTTGAGTCCACACCGGACCCGGATGGCACGAGCATTGGGGTTGGTCAAGTGAACCAACAAGCAGCCTGACGGCCAGCAGCATTGGTTACGCTTGAGGATGTCGACCTGCAGTTTCGAAGTCCTTGTATGTCGCTGGTCGGGACCCTTGGGCCTGCACGATCAACCACCTAGATATGCTGGTGCTCCAATGTTCAACTTCAAGTCTTGAACTTTCAAGGAAACTCCGGCTCTGAACGTTAGACCCAAACACCGCAAATCCCTTCAATCTGTCGCTCGGGAGGCCCGGCCATGGCTGCAGCAGGGTTTCAGGCCGAATCGGCTGTACAAACGCGTTGGCTTCGGGGCTTAGTGAAGAGGGTAAGTCTTTAGAGAGGCTTATAAGGACTACACAGTGCAAGGCCACAGGATTTGAGGACGACGGCCTGAGTTTCAGATTGCGAGCTGCGCCAAGCCGGCTTTTGGTCCGAGATAATTTGGTGAAGCACCCTAAACCCTCAACCCTAAACTTAAGCTGTCAATCACTTTGAGTTCTATGCACGGAAGTTCCTAGGCCCCCGGCGACGATGCGTCCTCACGCCGGTTGCCGTGTTATTGACATCTTGCTGAAAAGATTCCCGGCCCCAAACATGAAATGGCTTTGATGGTTGTCTTATTTGGGTTCTACATGGCAGGGGTTTTAGGCCTTACAGGGCTCACTAGTGCTGAAAGACTGGCTTTCAAAGACCCTCGCGACCTTCAGGCACATCGCCAAAATTAGAGTGGCAATGGGATGAATAGGAGATGAATGCATGTATTGAGAAATGATATATGTATTGAACTGATGTTAGGGACGATCGCAGCGAGAACAATACGAACATGCGAGCTGCTCGAAGTAGCCTTCCTCGTTTCAAGCGACGGGTGCGAAAAGCAACTTCGAACAAGATCGAACAAAACAAACCATCAGGTCAGGTCGTCAAGCCAGCCAGATCTTGAAACCAATGCTGACAGCCTAGGTCAGATGCTCAAAGGTGCCTTTCTGGTGGATCATAAAACCAGCTGCGCCGATGTGCAACGCTGAACTGGTTCCGAAGATGTGTAGACGGTGAATCGTGGTCGTGAACAGATGCTCTCAACTTGAACATGCCGGATGCACAGGCACCACAGGCGGCCAACAGAGGAGAGCGCCGTCAGATGTCTTGTACCCTTGTTTTGGGTTGCCAGGGTTTAGGGTTTACGTTCGAGGGACAGCAGCTAAGGTTTGCCCAAAAATCACGGCTCCCCGTAGCCGTTCAAAGCCTTCAAGTCGCTGGTGTCAACAGAATCTGCTACACAGATAGCCGAATTGAAATAGCCCCAGCTATACATGTTTGGCATTTCACTGCTGGTCCTCATGCCGACGGCTTCCCCAGGTCGTAGTGATATACTAACCTGGGATATATAGGGCCTTGCATGGTCCTGCTGTGCCGGCAATATAGTTGAACCCCTTGCATGTCGGATTACATACACGAAAAGTCTGAAGATGTTCAGGTATGCAGACGTAAACGTATATACATGTGTATATATATGTACACGTGTATATATATATATATATATCTATGTATGTATGTACGTACGTACGTAGGCACGTAGGTATGTATGTATGTATGTATGTACGTACGTATGTATGTATGTATGTATGTATACATATATACATGCACACACACACACACATGTATACACATGCACATATGGGGAGATTTGCCAGGAGGGGCACCCTTTGCCAACGACTATGGAGCAGGGGCAGGCAACTGTAGATGTGCTTTGGTTTTGGTGATGCATGTGTCTGAAACGCAATAGTGAGAGCCTTACTATGACCGAGGAGTACACTGTCAGATGCGCAGCACCGCACTGTTCGCTTGAAGGGCTTCTGTAGTGCGGCCATGCATGTCGACCCTGCGAGCTGCTTGGCGAAACTAGACCGAAGTACACGACTCATGACGCGTTAATCTTATAATACTACTAAAAAGAATACCATAAATAGTAATAGTATTAATGGAATAGTAAGAATACTAAAAAATGTCAACACGGCGGAAGCACCGCCGTTGTTTGCGATTGCCGTGCCAGGGCTCCCTCCCCCGATGCCGCGGCAGAGTGCACCCTTCGCCCAGGTTGGTTGGGGGAGCTACCAGAATCACCAGGGCCCCCCGTTAGATTTCGGGAAGTTAGAGTTCACGGGACACCAAAATGTAGCACAATGTAGCACATGTACTAGTCCCTAAACCCTGCAAGCCCTATCAACCCTCAAAGCCCTAAACCCTAGTATCAGCGGAGATTCAGCCCAGCCTTGCAGGAAGGCCTGTGGAAGAAAGTGCGTTTAGGATAAGTCGGCTGCACGTCATGAGCAGCATCACCACCATACAGACAATCATCATCCAACATCGTGACCGTCATCACGGCCGTCAGCGTCACAACCACCAGCAGCACCACCATAGGCTGTCGAAGTTTCTGCAGGATCGGGTCGGGAGCCCCCAGCGCCTTCCTTTGGAGGGTGTCGGGTTTCAGGACGTATGCAGCTCTCCTTGCAGGATGGCGCTGGTGCAGTGATCCACGGTCGCTTTGCCGCCCCTCGCAAGCAACTACGTACATCCGCTGGAGATCAGAAGCCAGACCTGGGTCTGCTAAGGAACATCAGAAAATGTCCTCCAATGCCCGGAGCCTGGTTACCTCAACCAAACGCACACTCCCCTCTCCTATCTTGTCGAAGTGTTCCGGACTCCCAGTGAGCGAGCCAGAGGCCGGCGGGTGGATGGATGCTTTGATTACTTAAGGCCCTTTATGCTCGCTGGAGGTAGGCCTAAGTTCAGGAAACCCCGTACCGCAATCACTAAACGGATATGAAGCTCCCTGGCATCACGACATGCATGCCAACAGCTGCTTCTAACAGCTGTTGAAGAGCTTGCCCCTGAACTAAGTCTTCCACCTTCGAGTTCGTCAAACATTCCTCAGAAAGCGGGTGCGACAGTGTCTAATTCATAGACGGATCGCCATGCTGTTGACAAACTAGCTGATTGTGAGGGTGATTTGATATTGTTACATTGCGGCTTAATCCTACATAAGCAGACACTACAGAAAAGATCTACCATTTCGGGCAGCCGCTTCTTGCATCGCGTCATTCAGGCCTATGCTTGTGGCGGCAACCAGAACTGCGGCAACGTAATGACCAATCGTCGAACGCGCTTCACTTAGTGATCGTGCGACGATGTTTGCGCTTCAGGAAGCAGCTATGGCCGCGGCATAACAGCAAATCATGTTCTGTGAGGTCTCACATCTTAGTTCTGCTCTTCTGTCTTTTGCATGGCACGCGAGAGCGTCAGGCTGTGCAAGCACCTAATGACTTAGTGACTGGCGGACCGCTGATAAAGTGTGTAGGCTGCTTGTTCGCAGAAACGTGTGAGGACAAAGCAACGTACAGAAGAGATGCAGATATTCCGCTGGTGCTCATATACTTGCTTGCTTGCTTGCTCATTCGTTCGTCTACAGACATACCCGCATAAGCACATATCTGACAAACATTAACGTTACATACGTTACATACATTGACATGCCTACCTACTTATGTACGTACATACATACATGTACGCATATATGTTCATATATATATATATGTATACATATATGTATATATATGTGTATATTTATTTATTTGTTTGTTTGTTTAATTATGTATTTAATGATGGCATGTATGTGTGCATAAATCTACCTGTATATATATATATATACATACATATGTGTATGCATATACATGTATGTGCGTGTGTCTATATATGTGTGTTTGTGTTGTGTGTATATCTATATTTACAGTTCTCTTGTACTTGAGGTTGTATATGTATGTCTATCCTGTAGGTATAATTATATGGATGTGTGACCCCTTGTCGCTTCAATGCAGCTGTACAGGTGTTCCTGTAGTTGTACCGTGGATTTGTGAGGTGAATGTGCAAATGTATGTACAATGTTTGTGCTTATATGCACGCAAACACATACAGACATACATACATACAGACAACATGCGGACCGCCAGACTTACATTGACATACACACAGACATACATGCATGCATGCATACATACATAAGAGCATTGTACCAAAGGGTTTGGTACTGCATTTTATGTTGCACCGACTTGCAGTAGATCCTTGAACGCCGAAGTCAGCCATGGAGAATCTGCTGAAGTCGCAACCTCCTTGCTCTTGGGATGCTCAGCCGACAGTAAAAACCGAATGCCCGCAGGGCGCTGGCTGCCTTTCCCGCCGCGGTGGCTTCTGTTCCTGGCGACTCTTCTGCTCGTTGCACTGTGGACCTGCTTTTGGTCGATGCAAGAGGTGTGGGAGCAGGGGCACCTCGTCTCGGAGAAGGCGCACATGAAGAAACACGAAAGAAGCCCTAGAACACAAAGTGTCGGAATTTCGCAACCCTCAAGATCTTTCTGTTTTTCTTAAGATGCCAGGTTGAAAGACTGGTCGTGATAGATGACCAGGCCTCATCTTCTTTGAAGCCAAAAGGGAACCTGACGATGCAGTCTCGCGAAAGGCTCGGCCATGGCGTGCTGTTTGTTGTACGATCTTGCTCTCAGAACTACGGATTTCGCGTCACTTCCATTTTTAGAACCTGGGGTCAAGACATCGCGAGATCGCCATCAGACGGTCTCATGGTCGTGGGAGACACGGCAGTGCAGCATCCACGCATTTTTGGCGTGCCAGAGTGCGGGAACGATCACAGCCGAGCCTTGTGTTGCAAAACGGGCTATGCATTGCAGCTTGCCTACCGCTGGCTTGATGATTTTGCCTGGTTCTTCGTCCTGGATGATGACACCTACGTCAATATAGGGAATTTGCGCCAGTCACTATCTACCTTCAGTGCCTTGGAGCCCCAGGCACTGGGAGTCTTGGGATGTGGGCCCGGCTTTTGCGAAGACGGTCAAGGGGGCTTTTGTGGAGGAGGCGGCTACGCCCTAAGCAAAGCTGCCCTTGGTGTGATCATGGTCAACTCCACATCTACCTTTCAGCTGGACTTAATGTCTCATTTGGCCACAGGGAAAGATGGTATGGCATATGACGACATCAGCGCCCGTGGCTGCTTCACAGTATCATGTCCCTTTCCAGGTTGCCTTAGAGGTTTGAGGTGGGCCATGCATTTTTGCTGGGTTTTCGGGCCTTGATGCAAGAAAAAGACCCTCCCTTCAAAGGTGTGGCGTGCCTGCTCAAAAGGCACAGAGTGCGCTTGCGATCGCTACATGGGCTGTATGCATTCGGATCTCAGAGACAGTGGCTGGACGAAGCGTATGAGCGAGCCATAACAGCCCGCAGCCCTCTCCCCGTCTCATTTCACTACATTGGCCCGTTTTTAATGGAGGCTCTTCACAACCGCTTTGCCAGACTGACGGAAAGCCGTGACACGGCCTTGCCGCAAGACGAAAATATCCGCAGCGCCAGTCCTGTGCCAGCAGAGTTGCGAGAGATACATCTACGCGGCCTGCAAATCCTCAAAGTTCATAAGCAGTCTGAGTCTGTTTAGATAATTGGACTGCGACGGCAGTCGAACTATTGCATGTGGAGCCTAATTAGACTCTGACTGGAGACTCGCAGACCGAAGCTCAATCAAAGGGAATTCCGGATTTGTTGCAATGCCTGCACTTGGGGCTCCATTGCAGTAGCAGCCGACACTTGCGTCGAACGTCGCCCTTGTATAGCAAATCCACTGTAGCCCAGAAGGCCACAATGTCATCGGCTCCTCTGCTCTCCGCAAACAGCACAAGCTCAGAAGCCGAAAGCCTCAACGGGTCTTTGGGCTCTGGGACGAGGGGATCAAGGTTACGTAACCTCTAGCGGCTCGGTTCAAGCCAAAACAGGGGTCTGAATACTTGGCAATAGTGTTCTGTTATAGTTCCTATACAGTCATGGTACGGTTTTACCCCAAAACGTCACTAGGCGAAGTCTTCCGGCCGTTATACTGACCCCTTTCACTGCTATCTCTTTGAGCCCGTGCTAAGGACCAAGGTCTCACACCCACCCGGCGGCGGCTCGTCAATTTCCTTCGGCTAGGAGGCGCAGAGAGGGACAGTCGTGAGGCCATGGACCCTGTGAGTCGCTCTCTCTCTCTCTCTCTCTCTCTCTCTTCTGAGACAATAAGACATGACTTGGGGGATCCTCGGCTCTCTTCTCCTCTCCAGTAAGAACAGGCCTGAAGCTGGCAGGAAGAGTGAATTGGGCACTAGGCGCGGACTAGACTGAGCGGTGTTGCTAGTGGCATGCTAGCGGGCCTGCTTCCGGCACATTCCCAGTTGATCGTCCGCTGTCCACAAGCTGCAAAACTAAGCCTCACAAACCGGATCAACCCCCGGCCAGGTCGTGATGAAATCCGCTGCAAGCCAGGCCTCCGAATTCGTTGCGAATTCAAAGCACGAGGCTGACCGAGCAGGAGGTTGCCGCCGGTGTTTCAGGTCGGAAGCCCTCATGCCCAGCACAAGTACCTCTTTGAGCTGCTCTGTGGCTCACTGGTTACAACAAGTGTAGACCGGACATGTATAGTGGATTGTTTGACCTGGACTTCTGGAAATGTCCCGTGCATGACGACATCATCGGCATCATGCTTAAGGCGAAACCGAGTCGGGGGCAACCTCCCTCCTTTCAGTCTCCGACAAACCTTCAAGGGAAGGTTGCGTTTCACCAATCCACTCTCCCCCCCCCCTGGACCCACCAGAATTTCAGATTCAGAGCCTCACGGTAAACCAGCTTTAAGGCCATATGTTTGGCGAGTGTACTGAGGTATCAGCCTCAATAAGGTCATGCGATGCCCGACAGCAAAGCTATGAATGGGCCACCCTACTAGGCTAATTAGGCGATGCATCGGATCGTTGAGCACCAAAGTTCTGGGATGGGAAACTCCTGCGCAAGGAGGTAGTATGCTTACCACACCCAAGAGAAGATTGCTACATGACCTCGTAGAGCGCCTCTGCGATGGAAGGACGCACTTTCACTCTGTAGTGCTAGGGCTGGTACCGGGAAAGGGGTTGACCTCCGTTTGTGGAAAGCGCTTGATCTATGCTACCTAGTAACTTACGATAGGTTCAGGGTGCATCTATGGACGCATCAGGCTCAACTCTTTCACGGGCGGAGCAAGAATTGAATTGCACAAGCGAGTGGAGCGCGAAAAAGCTCGGGGTCATGGCACTCCGGATCCAGATGGGTGATAATCATAGTGATAATGGTAATGATACTAGTACACGAACAAGAATAAGTATTGCTTCATGGAGTCGTAGCCCCTACATGCAGCTGCATGCCTAAGACCCTATTCTAATGATTAAGGTCCCTGTATTTAGTCGTCGGGTGCTCGTCAATGGCCTCCTTTGCTATGGTGAGTTCCTTTATGCAAGGGTCCGAACGTTGCATAGCAATTCCTCTGTGATGGCATTCGCTGCTATATGCTCGTACATACGAGCAGCTGATAAAGCAGCAAGAACATGATCGACATCCGGCTTTGCCGAGGTGGCTTAATGTGGCGATTGGAAGAGGCGCCAGTTGGTAAACGGCATGCACGTGTGATAGCTTTGCTTGGCTGCTGACACAAGACGAGCATTGCAGTTCCAACTGCAGTGCAATGCTACTGCTACTTCTCTCGTAGGACAATCTCGATGCGGCAGCTTACAGACCCTAGTGGCGTGATGTATTATGCACAGGTTTCAGAGGGCAGCATAATTTGATTTGTGCGCTAAAACGTCCTGATCCGAAACCTTAAAGCTTAACAGAACTACAAAACGACTCGCGTCAGGCAATCATCGTCTCTTCGTCTTGCTCTCTTTCTTGGAGGCGCGGAGCTTGTATCCTCGAGATTAAGAACCTAAGAATATCTATATCATAGTCTATATCATCTGTAGAGTTTGACGGCGAGATTTCGAAAAAAAACAGCAATCTCAAGCCCCAAAGCGCCATAAATGAAGATGCACACGATTTGTTTGACTCGCCTCACATCGTCACCTTGGCTCGAGTACAGTCTCAATGCCAGCACAACATGTTGGCATCCTCAGTTTGTGAACAAGATGCTTCGTGTTTGGCGCTTTTCTGGAGAGCTGCTCGCAGCCGTGTCGACAGATAGATTCAAAAACATCAGGGCGTTGAAGGACCACTTGTGCGAGATGCATGGCTTCCCGATATGCACTCAGCGTCTTGTTCATGAGGGCTTCATCTTGGATGATGTGGCCGGGGTTGACAAGCCAATTGATGTGCAGTTGGTACTCGAGAGCATTTCCGTGCAGAACTGTACGCTGCAACTGACCAACGAGTTGATATCTGAGGCCAGGCGGGCCAACACAAAGGGGGTATGCCAGCTGCTGGAAGCCGGCGCAGCCAAGGATTCGAAGGACCACACTGGTTCAACGGCCGTTGCCTGCGCATCAGCCAAAGGCCACTTGGAGATCGTGGATGTGCTCCTGAAAGCCGGCGCTGACCCAGACTTGTCCGACTGGAGGGGCAACACCGCCCTAGTTCTGGCGTCTGCCAGTGGCCACGTGGAGGTTGTGCGTTTGCTACTTGCCGCTGGCGCCCAGATGGATTGGCAGGCACGTGATGGCACCACGGCACTTAGTTGTGCCGCTGTCAACAACCATGTTCAGACAGCTCGCTTCCTGCTGGAAGCCGGTGCCGACAAAGACTTGGCAGACAACAATGGCAACACCCCTCTTATTCTTGCATCTGGTGGCGGCCATGCTGACATCGTGCAGCTGTTGATGGCTGCAGGTTCTGACAAGGATCAGCAGGCACACAATGGCAACACTGCTCTCACTTGTGCATCGGGGGGCAATCATGCAGACGTTGTTTGCCTATTGGTGAAGGCGGGTGCAGATGCAAACACACGAGACCACAACGGAGAGACAGCTCTTCATCTTGCATCACGTCGTGGCTGCCTAAAGATCGTTCGCATGTTGCTCGAAGCAGGTGCCGAAGGTGAAGTGCAGGCTGGCACGGGTAACACCCCTTTCTTTTACGCCTCCGTCAGTGGCCACCTAGAAACTGCACGTTTGCTTCTGGAATTTGGTGCCAACAAAGACCTGGAGCTCCTCTCTGCAGCAGCAGAGGGTCTTTCCGAGACAGTGCAGTTGTTGTTGGAAGCTGGGGCAGACAAGGACATTAAGAACAGCGATGGCGAGAATGCTTTGCACCTCGCAGGGTATGGCGGGCATCATCAAGCAGTACGCTTGCTGTTGGAAGCTGGTACCAACCGTGACTTGCATGACCGGAATGGCGATACCCCTCTTATAAATGCATGTCATGGCGGTCATGCTGAAACTGTACGCTTGCTGCTGGAAGGTGGTGCTGACATAGAACTGGGATCTTTTTCTGGCAGTAGTCCGCTTGTTTGTGCATGTGTCGGCGGTCACGTTGAAACTGCACGCATGTTATTGGAATCTGGTGCTGGTCAAGAGTTTGCACTCTTGCGTGCATCTGCGGAAGGCCAGATTGATATTGTTCACTTACTATTGGAGGCCAGCGCCAACAAGGATGCGAAGGACCGCCGTGGTCAGACAGCCCTCCACCGTGCTGCTTCCCGCGGACAGTCCGAAACGGTTCGCTTGTTGCTGGCAGCTGGTGTTGATCAAAATGTGCAAGACAGCACAGGAGCAAAGGCAATCGCACTCGCCTGGTTGAATCATCACCACAAGACTGTGCGCTTGCTTCGTGGCTGTACTTGACCGCCGGCGTGACCGGGCTTAGTGGAAGTTGAAAGCTAGAGTGAGAGTGAGACACACGCGCCCGGAAAGTAGCGGAGAGCTGGGGCTTCGGGAAAGATTGAAGGATCAGGTGACTATAGACCCTAACAGCGTTGCCTGCAGATGCGAACTTCTGTTACTCGCCGGTGTTGCCCCGCGGCTATTCAGCTAGTCACTGATTGCTTGTGCCAGGACTTTAGTTAGACATAAGAGCGATTTGAAGGCACCACCCCCAAAAATCGTAAACCCCATGTAATGCTGGGCATTTCAAACGAGGCAGAAGAACCTAAGAGGCCGAATAGTGTGCCCTTGTCACGACCTTAGGCCACCGCCAAAGTCGTGAGCCTGAACTCGCCCTCCCCGAAAACCGAAACAGTCATCTGAAGTCTCAGATGTTATGACAGGTAGCAGCTCACACATACTGCGGAAACACTAAACTCTCAGCCACCCACCCCCGACCACTTACATCATCCAAACCCCAGCCTAAAGTGTATAAACACTTCAAAGAGAGTGGCAACAGTAAGAGCACGAGTAACTTAAGGTCCCCACCCTAAATCGTATACTTGCCGTGCCCAGTTGAGCGTCCAGTGGCTGCACTTGGCCCTTTGCATCGCCTTTGCTCGCGGCGCTGTGGTGGGAAGCAGGCTCGACCGCGGTGTTGCGGTTGCGGCTGTTGTTTGTTTGCTGAGCCGTTATTACTTGCAATGCCGAATGACCAGGGTATGCGGATATCGTCATCCAAACAAGCATGTGAGCACAGATGCACGTGATTGTTCTCCTTCGAGTGTGCTGAGCAGCGCTGGTGTTGATTTATTGGTGGTGTTGGCCTGTTGCTAGGATTGCCAATATCGTTTGCATTCGTTTCTGTGTGTGCGTGTGTGTGTTTTTCGGTTGATGACATGCCGTCGGGGTAGAAGCAGCTAAAGCCAAGCACCAGTCGCTGTCAGCATTCATGCTCAAAGGCTAAAAGGATGGCTATACAACTGCAACTGTATACCTGCAATGCAGCAATCAGACAAGTACAGGAGCAGCAGCTGCTGCTGCGGGAGTCGGAGTAGTAGTAGTAGTAGTAGTAGTAGTAGTACTAGTAGAGTAGTAGTAGTAGTAGTAGTAGTAGCAGCAGCAGAAGTAGTAGCAGTAGTTGTAGTAGTAGTAGTAGTAGTAGTAGTACAGCAGCAGCAGCAGCAGCAGGAGGAGGAGGAGGAGGAGGAGGGGGAAGCCGGAGGAGGAGGAGGAGCAGAAGGTAGCAATTGGAGTTGCAATTGCAGTGGCAGCAGCAGCAAGTAGCAGAGTGCAACAATAAAAGAGTTACGCAGCAGTGGTCGCCGTAGATATTGTCGTTGCAACTGGTTGCAGCGAGAAGGCAATGTGAATGGCAAGAATACGTTGTATCACCGGCAGAGCTTCGGCCTGTAGATCGTGCGACCAGCACCTGCACTCGACAGTTGGACCGCCTGGCTCTACAACCTAGTACGGTGCCCAGCTTGTCTGGAGGCTGTCAGGTGGAAGGTTGGCTTGATTTCGCCGGTTCTCGATCTGCAGAAATCGCGTCGGATTGCTGGGTTGCAGTGGGATGATCTAGAAGTCATGGCACGGCTCGGCGTGCTGGATTTGCTGAGGGAGTCTGTACGCAAGGTGGAAGCCAAGTCGAACCGGAAAGCCGAATTCCAGCAATGGTCCTTTGAAGAATAGCAGAAGGCTTGGTGTGGCTACAGGCAAAACACTGAAACTACTGCTCTTCAGAGTTCTGTGGGGCTGGCGAGCTTGATTCGAACCTCGTTATGTGGCAACAATTTTGATGATGGCGCAGGTTTTGCTGGGTTCCTAGGCTCAAGATGAAAGCAGCTTTGGCATTGTCCCTGCCTGAAACCTGAAACCTCTATGCCACTCTCACTTGTTTCTTGCTTGTGATACTGATGCTACTGTTCAAAACGCACGCACACACACACACACCCACACAAACACACACACACACACACAAACAGAGACAGGCAGACCCTCAATCCAAACCTGCCCACTTAAACGAGCCTAAAACCCTAAAGCGAAATCCCCAGGCGATGCAGTTTCCTTTGCTGGTCTTTGTGGCGGTCTTGGGCAAGAGTCGGTTTAGAGTTTCGGGTTGAGGGTTCGATCCTCAAGACTCAAGCCTTTCAGGACAGGGAGGTATATTGCCGAACAGTGCCTGAATACTAGTCTGGCACGCATACATTCACGCAGCTTCGGGTTTGGGGTGTCCTGTCCCTCCTCTTGCATTGAGTGGGAGGAGAGGAAAGGAAGCATAACCTATCATGTCCAATGTGTCTGAACGGCCGGGTAAGACTCGTGACACACTCTCTTGGACTCCATTACCCGATCTTATGTATTGATTGTAGTGGTTCTCACTTATTCTCATGATCATGACTGCTAGCACAGGTACAACAACCACGATGATTGTTATTGCCACAAAGCTTCGTTGTAATTATTCTCATTGTCATTCTGCGTGTTACGAGGTTCTGCTGATGCATGGCTTTTCTTCGCCAGCGGCGCTCTCAAAGTGATGTTCCACCTGTGAACTCAAGCGGTGTGTAGTGGGTCACGGTATCATGATTCGTTTGCTAATCGAGTCGGCAACGACGTAGCAATCCTGCATCCGTGGTTCGTGCTTGATACGAAAGTTACGAAACTTCGGCCAAGTCTTGTTCGATGACATCAGATCAGACATGATGCTTGCTGTGCAGTTCTAAAGATCCATTTGCCGGAGACGCTACATCCAGATTTCAGATCCCAGGCCGGAAAGGCTATTGAAAAGGTTCCCATAGGAGTGAAAACTTCAGCTTGATAAGGCCCTGAACCCATATGCCAAAGACAATCCCTTCCGTCCCAGGGCATCTTTTTCTTGCTCGTCAACCACCTCTACCTCATAGCGATCAACATGACCACCAATGAGATGGCCCCTCCGGCTGGCACTTGATGCTGTCTTGCCGCCACAGATGCCACAGAAACAAGCAGCTGCCCAATGTGTGCTCCTGCTACGACCCGTTCTACTTGCTACCGCACCGAAATCTGCCGCTAGTCACAACAGGGAGAGCAACTACCTGTGTTGCTACCACAGACTACCGTTGCTGTAGCAATAGCTGCTGCTGATGCTGCGACAACAACAACTACTACTACTGCTGCCGCCGCCGCTGCTGCTGCTGCTGCTGCTACTACTACTACTACTACTACTACTGCTAGTACTACTAGTACTCATACCAATACTCGTACAGCAGCTGCTACTGCTACAGCTACTGCGACGACTACGACGACAACGACAACTACTGCTGCTGCTGCTGCTGCTACTACTACTGCTACTACTACTGCTGCTGCTGCTGCTGCTGCTACTACTACTACTACTTCTTCTACTACTACTGCAACTGCTGCTACTACCACTGCTACCACTACGACGACGGCTACCGCTGCAGCGCCGTAGCGGTTACCCGGGCAGACAGCGCTGAGGATAAGGAGCACGCCGACTGAGGTGGAAGCAGAGCCATATTACTCACGGCAGCCATAGGTATACAGGAAAGTGCCCCGGGCCCAAGACTCTGCAAAAAAGAAATTGGCTTGTGGAACTTGCGTGCTATACCCATCTGGCCCCCAATCCGCTGGTGCTGTGGCAGATGAACAAAGATCGCTACCAGCACTTCTGGCAAGAGGCAGCCAGGGTTCCAAGTCAAAGTATACACAAAGAAGAACAGTAACAAATGTAGTAAGTAGCAATAGTTGTAGTAGGCGTAGCAGCAGCACTGGCACTAGCAGTAGAGCAGCCGGAGCAGGAGTAGTAGTAGTAGTAGTAGTAGTAGTAGCAGCAGCAGCAGCAGAATGGGAGTAGGAGTGAAAAGCCACAGTAGCTGCCGGCTCATGATCGGCCTGGTATTCCTTAGTCTATATCTAGCTCCCTGCTCGACTTCATTTGGCAGCGAGGTCACTGCTTGCTTTCGTGCTTGCAACGGTGACGGCCGTTTATCTAATGTTTCAGAACCTTGTGGGCTTCGGGTCAAGACCTGAGCCACTTCCCAAAAAGCGCTGAGCCCTTGGATGAATTAGTCACTGAGTTCTTGAGAGGTCATCACTTTTGGAAGGTCGGCACTTGTTGTGCTGCCTGCCCGATGTAACGGAAATGGTTCGTCACGAAAACTCTGAACCGCAAGAACCGCACAGCAGAGCTCATTGCCTTAAATTTGCCATTGGGCCTGAACCCAATGAACTCATCAAAGCTTCACCCGTTCCCAACTCCTAACCTTATGGCCCTTCCGGGCAGGTGAACCAAGAGAAAGGGGTCATCAGAAAGGCGTGGTGATTATTGAAGAGCAACACTATGAATTCAGAGTTATCGGTCGGTTGGCGTGCCTTCTTGAGTACGTGCCGACATGCGCAGGCTCTACCTAGAGCTTTAGTTTGGGTTGAGAGCTGTTGCTTTTCGATCTTCTCGGGTTTTTGAGTGACCTTCGTTTTCAGCATCAGGGTTCTGCGTTCAGAGTTATCGTCATCAGTATTCAGGCACATACTATCACTTTACTCGTCCTTGGGCATCCATAATCCTCGCCCGGCCAGCCCAGAACACCCGGAACGAGCCCCGACAACAGCAACAACAGCAACAACCGGGCACACGCAACCCGGAAGACCGGGACCCGGAGCTCGGAACCAGGGCCCGGGCCGATTTGCTGCAAGAAACACGAGATCCCCTCCAGGCAGCAGGTGTGTTACGACTGGAGGGACAGCAAGGACTACTTAATAGTGTTCTGTTTCCATCATAAGACATGACGCGAAACTTCTGCTGACATACGGCAGAGAATGGGTGGCATGAAGTAGAGATCTCGAACACTGTCGAACACCACATCTGCATATGCCTAGAAAGCTCCCCGAAATAGTGGCCACCACTCGTGGAACCAGACAGTGTTATGTCCCGCAGATGCAGTAGCATGCTCAATGCGAGTACTTAGCGACTGTTGGAGGAAGTCAAA